GGGGGGGGGTGCGATATTGTGTTTTTCTGGCCAAGAAAGGCAACCTAAACCACTCAAACCTATCCTTTTCCCACAAAGTAAATATGAACCAAAGGACATCAAATTGCTTATTTCTTGGACATCCATCTCTTGATAGGCACCAAAAGTTTCACAGTCCACCCATGGAAATCCATGAAAAAAGTGAGACAAGCATTTTCCTGCCCCTCTTTGCTTCCGTAATAGTGATCAGATGCAGTAATTCCTCTGAAGTAGTAATGAAGTCCAATGGAAAACAAAACAAAATTGCTATACCTATCTTTCATGCATAACTGATAGCTATAAACCAGTTAATGTTTAGAATATGTTCGATTTTTAGATATTTTCTTTAAAATTATACAAAGTTAAGAGTGCAATTTTGAAGCCTGGGAACTTGTATTTACCTTATGTTAGCACTAGGAATGCAGACAGTTTCACCAGGGTATTTTTGTACTGAGAAGAATGGAGAGTCTCTGAAAATATGAAAGGGTAGACAGTGTTATCATGGAGTTATCACAAATAACCAAGATAACTGGGAATGAATCCTTGAATAAACTTGAAACTGGACACAAGTCAACACTGAAGCCACTCCAGAAGTGTTACCACCACCCATGAATTGCAGTAGCAAAACAGCTAACTGTTCCTGGCAAGCAATAGCAAGCAAATAATTTATACCTTTGGAATATTGGAATAGCCTCCAAAAATTCCCTGGTCTGTCCACATTTGTTTATTCTGAGTAGGAGAAGGGGGTAGGGTTCAAGACTGCTCAGTGGTTGGGCTAATAAGCTGACCCCCTGGGTCCTCTGCCAGTATATATGTATTATAACAATGTTATAATAGGGGGTTCATTGGTAAGGAATGTAACCCAACTTTTTATAGAAATCAAGGAATGTAACCCCCTATTATAACATTGGTTCCATGGGAAAATCAGATTCGACTTACTGCATTGCACTTTAGAAAGCTTTTAAATCAACTATTTCATCAGCTATAAATGATATACCCTGATAAATTATATACACTGTACAAAGCTTTCTAAAGTGCAATGCAGTAACTAAGGGAGGCACTGGGGCCGGTGTGGGACACTTACTGAAGGTAAGCTCCTCAGTCCTCATGTAGGGCAGGTAGTGTCTCCTCCCCAAGGTGAGGCAAGGTAAGGGCAGGGACGGGGGCTGGGGCTGGGGGCTGATGTGGGCTCCACCACCTCCAGGGAACTGCTCCATTTTCCAGCCCCAATGCTTTGTGCCTCCTTGCTCCCAGAGGCATGGCAAGGTGGGGACGGGGGCTGGGAACTGCTCCGTGGGCTCCGCAGGCTCCAGGGACCTGCTCCACTCCCCAAGGTGATGCAGGGGTGCAGAGCAGTTCCCCAGAGTTGGCAGAGCCCATGCCAGCCCCCAGCCCTGCCTCGCCATGCCTCTGGGAGTGAAGAGGCATATGGTGTTGGGGCTGGGAAGTGGAGCAGGTCCCTGGTGCCAGTCCCCAGCCCCTGTCCCCGTTTTGCCTGAGCTTACCACTGGTAAGTGTCCCACACCAGCCCCGGTGCCTCAACTGTTGCCTGCTGTAAATGCAAGGATCAGCACCATAAATAATAACAGGGGTGTAAAATGCGGAGCACCAGAAGTGTGGATCACCACAAGTCAAGCTGACGTAAGTTGAGGACTGCCTGTATTTCTTACCCTTATAAGAGGAAACTTTTTTCAATTTCTATTTACAACCTTAACCTTACCTGTTACTTTCATCACAATTATGACTTCACACGATGTCAAATCATACAGAAAGAAATCTAATAATGAAAGCAGGTCATGTAGAAGTTTTTAACTTCAATAGAAGTGTAATGAACTGACACCAACCACACAGTATGAAGTCTCTGCCTTAGTTTGTAAAAGATAATTTCCCTGCATCCAATTCTATGCCAGTCTGACGTTTTGTCTATTTATTTTTCTTCCAGCTAGTCTTTTAAAAAAGGTTTACCTCCTCCACATTCTCAAGTATCAATACCCATCCATGTCTACTTGGCATTTTCTTTATAGTTCAAAATTGTCTTTACAAATAGATTTACACCACTTTAATATGTTAAAACATTGTGGACTTCAGTTCTGTAACACAGAATTACAAACACTAAGTAATTACTAATTACAAACACTAGATTTAAAATGACATAAAACCATTATTAAAATATATACCAAATACCAGTCATTTACTATTGCCATTACAGTGCTTGATTTCATCCAATTCCCTTCTGAAATATTAGGCAATGACATTTTCTGTACCCCAAGAGCTATACTTCAGTTTCCTTCTCTTTCATCTTTAATGTGGAATCTATAACAGAGAATGCTAATGCATTATGGCAAAAGTTCATGTTAACTTTCTATTTTAAGAAAAGCTGCTGATTCAATCAACCTAAAATGGTGGCAGAGAAAGGCTTTTGTGTTTCAATGGTTCCCTAACTCTTTGCCTCACCAATTTTCCCCAAAGAGCTCAAACCTGTGAAATTTACTACTCAATACTACTCTACACTTGCATTTGATCTGGGATCAGTTTAATCACAAGTAAACTACTTGAGAGTAAATGTTCCTGGGCAGGCATCTACACACACAGGGAAGGGGGAGCAGATTTGCTGCTTATAGGCATGTGTAGATGAAACGGCGGGCCTAAATTGAAGTGGTAGGTTTTAAAAAACACTGCTTAATTTAGTGCAAATTACCCCCCACTGACTTCCCTGCCTCTCCAGCAGGGCCAATTACACCCCACTGACTTACCTGCCTCTCCAGCAGGGAGGGGAGGGCATGCTGTCAGCAAGTGGAACAGTCCCTGGGATGTGGGGGGCGAGGGGCTGGTGCTTCCCTCCACAGCAGCTGTGCCCCGCCTCCCCCAGTGGCACCTGCCTGCAGGCGTAGGTGGTCTCAAGGGTCACTGCAGCTGCAGAGGGAAGCACCAGGCCCCCACACAGCTCAGGCAGGCAAGCAGGCAGGCTCCAGGGGAGTGCGGGGGGAAGATCAGGCACACTGCTTTTCCTGGGTGGAGCTGCTTTCCCAGGCTGCTGCCAGGCTGCCTGCAGGGCTTCCTGTATAGCTCAGTGCTTTGCTCCGCAGCTGTAGGGGCAGCAAAGTAAAACTCCTTGGAGAAGTTTTAGTTTGCTGTGCCCCAAGTCATTTAAGACACATCATGCCACCAAATTTCCTACAGCAGCTTGAATTAATGTGCAATACGCCACCAAAGCATGCAAACACTGACACCATTAAAGTGGTGCAAAAGCATTTCAGCTGCCTTAAAGTGTCATGCACACACCACTCATTTCATCTACACATGGCCCATGGCCACAAACTGCTCCTATCTCATGGGGCCCTACAATGGGCCCCTGCAAACACCAGGGGGAGCTCTAGACTTTTATCTGCTAATACAAGATAAATGCACAGTAATAACTGAGCAGTAGTGTCTCATGTAGGTGTGCCCAGTGGGACTATATCTGAGTAATATTTGTAGCCTCACAGCTGTGACAGGGACAGGGGAAACTTACAGTATCAGGTACGATGCCACCCACATCAGTTTTCCCAACCTCAGTACCTTAGTTTGCTTTTGTCTGGCAGACTTGGCACTTTCTCCTGGACAAAACAAAGTCACAATCTTCTGCAGTAACCCTGGGTCCAAAACAAAGAGATATGCCTTCACAATCCTTAGGCCACAGATCCTTCTCATAGATCTACACAAGAGGCAAGGGCAACCTGAGTGTGCAGCACCTGTCAGATCAGGTAGGCAGCAGAAAGCAGAGCAACAAAACAGGAGAGGAAAGAGGATCAAAGTATCACTCAGGGAGAGATTTGGGCTTACTTTGTAGCATGCCTGGCAAAAATGTTGGCCCCCACTGGTCTCTATGATCTACTTTTCCTTTGTAATGGAGTCCTTGCAGACCTGTCTCCCCTTAAAGGCAAAGCTCCAAGCTAAGCAGTAATTCAGCAACTCATGAGCCATTCTTGTCCTGGGCTCCCTGCCAGTGTCACAGTAAGCTCACACTTGAGTGCAGTATGAATTTGTTTAAGAATCAATTTCCCCTTCCTCTTCTCAGCACAAAGACAAGGAAACACATGTTCAGTTTAGACTTCCTGTGAACTCTGCTTCATCCTGCAAAATCAATGCTTTGATCCACTTTCACTAGGGAGATCTTCTGGATCTCTCCCCTACCCACTTTATTGGCCACTACAGTAAATCAGCCTTTCCCCAAAGTCCTTCCAAAAACAGTCTTTGGTCCCTTTCCAGATTTTCTCTGGAAGGCCATGGAAATCAACTAATTCTTCTGTGGAAAAAGCCCTTCAAAAATCCAGTCTTCTCCTCAGTCACTCCAGAGTTGGAGAAGTCATTTTCATTTATTCCCTGCCTTCTGCTTCCAAACAGACCTTGCTATAACCTATAAACATTTTATTGGGGAAAACAATGCACAAGTCTAAGGTGGGTCTCAAATGCTTAAAAGATCACTCCCTGACAAAATCATTGGTGTATAAGCAGTTGTTCAAACCACAAGTTGTTACCACTTCTAAAAAGCCCCTTTTTATCAATGTTGTTAACATATTTATCTCAACACTGTATTTTCCATTTTGATTAATAAATATGCATTGAAAAGTGAAATTTAGTCACTCCAGCTATTCAATCTGCACTCCAGTTATGATGCAGGTGCTCCTTCTATTTAACGAAATATATTAAGAGCTTTGATACAGGACTGTTAACCCATTTATTGTGTCCTTCCACTTGTATACATATCCTGTTTCCATTCTTGGTGCTTACTACCCCATACAAGCTTTTTCCTCAGCATCACGATGTTTAAACAGATGGTCAAAGTTGTGCTCTTTTCTTCAACAGTCTTTATCCAAAGAAGCTGAACTGATCATCAGTAAAAATCTTCAGCTTTACACTAGTACTGCTGTGAGTGAAAACTGGCTCTTGCTTCTTGCTTTCCTCCTACCTTTTCTCCAATCATCCCTATTCTTGTTCGGCAGATTATAGAAATTTACACCATGGCTGAATGCAGTACACAATCTACACTGCCAATGGCTGTCCACTTACCTGCCATAACACACTAGTACAAGCTCAGATACAGCTAATGAGAACTTTTGACAGAACTGGCTGCAACATTTCAGCAATTCAAAAAAACAGTACTACAAGTTACAGTTTTGCAAAGATTTTGGACAATTATTTGAAAAGTTCAGCTTGACAGAATTGTAAATGTAAGTTAAGAAACAAGTTGTTTACTGGACCTGATCCTGCTGATATTGAAAGCCCTGGAAGATTTTTGGCCTTTGCCTTAAATAACAGCAATATCAAGATAGTCCAGCCTATTTCCTGGTTCACTATTCTACCAGGAACCTTCCTTTGTAATTCCACCCTTTATTTCTAATTTAATTAATTGAATATGAGATCATTATTACAGTGCTGGGGAGTATGACTATTTGACAGGATATCACTAAAGCTAACAAATCATATGGTT